CCCAAGGATGGGATTAAACCCAGGTCCCTGGCACTGTGAGGCAGCAATGCTAACCACTGAGCCACTGAAATAATCAGAAACTTGTTTTCAACGATAGCAATGGAAAACTGTTCCTGGCTTTAAATTGTTAATTTATTTCTGGAACTGGGAATCTTTGCTATTCTGCAAATTCCGCATCATTTTTCCATTCTCCAAAAGATTGATTCATTTTAAACAAAAACAGAAATTGTTAGAAACCCCAGCAGATCTGGCAACATCTGTAGAAAGAAAGCAAATTTAGTATTTCAAGTCTAGTAACACTTCTTCAGAATTAATGGTAGCAAAGAAAAGGTGGTGTATATGATAATGGCAGGAGGTGGAGGGGAGAAGGAGTGAGTCAAATCCTAAGAGCAAAAATGAAAGTAGTAATGGTGAACAAGAAGAAAGATTAGAATGGAAATCCTGAGGCTTTAGGCTTGCTCGCCGAGCTGGCTGGTTATCGTACAGATGTTTCATCACCATGCTAGGTAACATCATCAGTGTGACCTCCGATGAAGCGATGTTGTTCTACTCCTCCTGGAATTTATATGATCCGGTCTGTTAAGTCGGGTTGTATCATTTCTGGTTCTGTTCTGCATGGATTTGTATATGGGGTCTAATTCCATATATTTGTTGATTGCATTACAGGTTGAAAACCAGGCCTCTAGAAATTCCTGTGTGTGTCTGTGGTTGGCTTGAACTAGAATGGTCACGTTGTCCCAGTTAAATTGATGGCCTTCATTGTCCGAGTGCACTGAGATGAGAGAAAGTTCGTCGTGTCGTTTTGCTGCTAGCTGGTGTTCGTGTATCCTGATGGCTAGTTTCCTTCCGGTCTGGCCGATGTAATATTTGTTGCAGTCTTTGTAAGGTATTTTGTAAGCTACATTGGTCCTGCATGTCATGGATGTGGGGTCTTTGGTCCTTGTGAGTGTTTGTTGTAGTGTGGCTGTGGGTTTGTTTGCCAACACGATTCCTAGTGGTCATAGGAGTCTCGTTGTCAGTTCAGATATGTTCTTGATGTAGGGTAGTGTGGGTAGTGAATTGGGGCGTACTGTGTCCTCTTGGCATTGTCTACCTAGTATGCACCTGTGGATGAAGTTGTTGGCATACCTGTTGTTAGCAAAGACCTTGTATAGGTACTCTTCCTCCTTCCTGCATAGTTCTGGCATGTTGCAGTGAGTTGTGGCCCATTTGAATAGTGTCCTAACACAGCTTTGTTTGTGGACGTTGGGGTGATTGCTGTGGAAATTGAGGATTTGGTCAGTGAGGGTTGCCTTCCTAAATACTTGGTTTGGAACACCTCGTTGGTCATTTGTTCTACCCTGACATTTGCAAACGGAAGTTGATTGTTGTCTTCCTCTTCTCTTATAAGTTTGATCCCGGTGAAAATGTTGTTGATGAGATGGTGTGTCTCTTATAACTTGGTTCGTTGGTGCACCAAGTTAGATATCAGGGTAAAACAAATGACCAACGGGGTGTTCCAAACCAAGTATTTAGGAAGGCAACCCACACTGACCAAATCCTCAATTTCCACAGCAATCACCCCAACGTCCACAAACAAAGCTGTGTTAGGACACTATTCAAATGGGCCACAACTCACTGCAACATGCCAGAACTACGCAGGAAGGAGGAAGAGTACCTATACAAGGTCTTTGCTAATGACAGATATCCCAACAACTTCATCCACAGGTATCTACTAGTTAGGCAATGCCAAGAGGACACAGTATGCCCCAATACACTATCCAATATCAACAACATATCTGAACTGACAACGACACTCTAGGAATCATGGTAGCAAACAAACCCACAGCCACACTACGACAAACACTAACAAGGCCAAAGACCTCATACCCATGACATGCAGGACCAATGTAGTTTACAAAATACCTTGCAAAGACTGCAACAAAGATTACATCAGCCAGACTGGAAGGAAATTAGCCATCGGGATACACGAACACCAGCTAACAGCAAAACGATGTGACGAACTTTCTCTCATCTCAGTGCACTCGGACAATGAAGGCCATCAATTTAACTGGGACAACGTGACCATTCTAGCTGAAGCCAACCACAGACACACACAGGAATTCCTAGAGGCCTGGTTTTCAACCCGTAATGCAATCAACAAATATGTGGAATTAGACCGAATGTACAAACCCACACAGAACAGATCCGGAAATGACACAACCCAACTTAACAGACGGGACCATATAAATTCCAAGCGGAGTAGAACAACATCACTTCATCAGAGGCTGCACTGATGATGTTACCTAGCATGGTGATTAAACGTCTGTACATTAACCAGCCAGCTCGGCGAGCAAGCCAACAGCCTCATCCACAACTCAAGCTACAAATCTTCGCAAGAACTTAAATGGAAATCCTATCAGAGAGAGAGGAGCAGAACTTTAAGGTGGGCATACCTCAAAGAAACGTAGCAGTGAGTCAAACACTGGAATAAAAGAAAGAACTGCAGATTCTGGAGATCTAAAAAAAAAACAGACTTTGCTGGAGAAACTCCCCTTTGATGCGGATTGAGGTGCACTCAGTCTCGATGCCAAGATCCCAATTTTTATATGGAACCCAGATTCTGCAAGTCAAGGTAAAATAGTTACATTTGCAGATGCTGCATACCATAACAACTCACTGCTGATGAAGTAAAGAACTATTTGGAGATGGTGTGAAAGTATCTGAGACAATAATAGATGGAATTTGATTCAGGTACCTTTTTCTTTAATCATTAGCACTGATGATATACTTTCTTTATCCACATGACAATCACCTGGCCTGATTTCATAAGCATTTTTAAATGCAACCTCCATAATTTACTAGGATGGAGAGTTATTCATTACAGCAACAAACTTTGCTCCATCACTAGCCAATTGCAATTTGAGCTGTATCTTAACTAAATTACCCTTTTAATATTTCGTTGCAATAGAAAGTGATAATAAGTGATCAAGACTCATGAACATGAGCAATGCTGGAAAGCTAAAAGTGAAGTTGAAATTGTTTGAGGAGACTTGTAATATATTCAACCTAATGTAGAACAGCAATCAACAAAGCTATTAAAAAGTCAACAGTGGAAGAAAGTCATAGCAGAGATTTACTTAGCTCTGGTCAGACTGAGCCTTATATACTAAGCCTAGCTTTGGTCATCAAAAACCAAAATGAGATACTCAAGCAGTAGAGACTGTGCAAAGGAATTCCTGAGGCTGATCCATAGTATCGGGCTGAGAGTTGTAAGGAAGATTCTAGAGATTTGAAAAAAGCTGTTTTAAATTAAAATGCCAGGGAGTAGAATCATCGGACACAGGTTTCAACCAGTAAATGTAATATGACCAATAATAGAATTTCCAGATAGTGTTGTGGAGATAGAACTCCTGGAATTATTCCAAAACATTATGGAACAGCATCATGGGAGGTCGTAATTGATATCCTCTGGATAGTGTGTTTCTTGCCATTGCAGTAATCTTGAAGGGATAATGCTGACAACTAAAGATCATTCTAAAGCAAGTCTTAGAAACTGAGAAATTATTGTCTTTGATAAAATTATACCTTGCTTCTCAAAGATAAATCTGATCAAGTTATTTGATAAACTAACAAAGAGGGTTAATTAAAGGCACAGTAAATAATTTTTACATGGATATTCAAAAGTATGTTGATAAAGTAGCTCATAACAAGCTGATTTGGAAAATAGAAACATATGGCATTACTATTGAGAACTTGCACACTAACTTGGTTAAGGGCTAGGAGGTGCAGTGAAATGATGAATAAATGCTTTTCTGAGAGTGTTTTGCAGCAGGGTCCTCAAGGGAACCATTGTTTTTCTTGTTTTATATGAATGATCTGAACTTTTGGAATTGTCCTTTCTATATCTAAGTTCACAGATTAAATAAAATACTCAAAACTGTAAATAATAAAGCAGAAAAATAGCATACTTCAGGAGGACGGCATCAGACTCATGAAATAAGCATGCAGACAGCAGATCTAATTCAATGTTGCAAATGCGATGTAATGCACTCTGAGAGGACAACTGCAGAAACAGCAAAATGTAAAAAGTACCACTGTGAGAGCTGCACAAGAACATCTGGACCAGAGAATGAGTACTCCTTGAATGTGGCAATGTAAATTGATAAGACAGTTAAGAAAGAATATGAAATACTTAGCTTTTTGAATATATGCTTTTAAAAAAAGCTAATAAAAGGCAGAGCGTACAGCAATTAGGACCTAAATGTTTTTCTTCATAATTGGACTTGTGTGGGGAATTAGTTCAAATGGTAGAGTGACTGCTTTACATGTGAGAGGTAGTGGGATCAATGATCACATTCTCCACTTTGATTTTACACAACATCATGGACCAAAGGGCCTGTGCTGTGCTGCACTGTTCTATGTTCTATGGATTGGTAACCAGAGATCGTAACTCTAGATTCAACTCACAAAAAAAATCTAAAGGGAAGTGAGCAGTAATTTCTTCACCATTAAGGATTGTTAAAATCCAGAGCACACTCCTTATAAGCAAATTCTACAGGAACTTCTTAAAGGTAATTGATAATACACTTGGAAGGAATAATTTGTAGTGTCAGATGGAAGAATCTGGGCTATGAATTAAATTGAATAGCTCTTTCAAAGAGCTGCCAAAGATATCACAGGCCAAATAATTCATGTACTGTCAGATTCCACGATCTTATGTGATTGCCATACATTGCTTTGGGAAATTGGCCATCTCACATAATTATGGTCACTGGGAATTGGTTTGTTCAGACAAGAAAGCATCATTCGCCTGCCTGTTGCAGTCAAATCAGAGATATTATATAAAAAATCACAGAAGTAGGTGAAATGAGGCCAAGGCATAGAAACTCAGAAATAGAATTAGAGTCACTGTCACCATCATCATGATATCAATCATAAATTAAAGAGAATAACGTCATTAAGTACATTTTTAATATCTTCCCCACCACACCCCTCTGCCCCCAACCCGGCCGTAACACTTAGAAGCATTTGCGATGGATAACAGAGGGTCCTGATTCATCATACTCCTGCTTGGTAATACACATTTCCTGGAAAGCAGAGAGAGAAGCCAAGATTGAGCCACCAATCCAGCCTAAATACTTCCTTTCCGATGAAGTAATGACTTTAACCTTCATTGTTTTTGGAGCCAAGATTGTGATTTCTTTCTGAATTCGATCAGCAATGCCTGGAAACATGGTAGATCCGCCAGCCAGAATAATATTTGTGTAGAGATCACTCCTGATACAATCTTCACATGCCTCGATGCTGTCATTGACAGTCTCGTGGACGCCAGCGGATGGTATTCCCAAAAAGGAAGGTTGGAATACAGCTTCGGGACATTGGAAACACTCCTTATTGATGGTGAGGATTTGACCATCTGGAAGTTCATAGCTTTTGTCCAGAGTGGAAGATGTAGTAGCCTCTGTCATCTCCTGGTCATAATCAAGGGCCACATGGCAAAGCTTCTCTTTGATATTTTCAGCAAGCAATCTCTCAGCAGCCGTGCTGAAGTGGTACCCACGATGAATCAACCTCTCCATTAAGTTGTCATTTAGCTCCCTGCCAGCAAAGTTTAGGCGTCGAATGCTATCAGGTATGATATAGCCATCATTGACTGACACAGCAGAGGTCACACCCTCCCCACTGTCCAATACAACGCCTTTGATGCGGCCTGTTCCATAAATGGAGAGTAAGCCAGGAACAGTAGCAAAGACATGTGGTGTGTCAAAACTCTCAAACATCATCTGGGCCATCTTCTCTTTGTTAGCTTTGGGGTTCAGAGGTGCCTCCATGAAGAGAACAGAATATTCTGCTGGAGCAACTCTCAACACATTGTTAAAGATGTGTTGCCAAATCTTCTCCATGTCATCCCAGTTGGTCACAATTCCATGTTTGATTGGGTATTTGGAGATCCAAATATCTGGCCTGTCCCTGGCTTCTTTCCCAACACAGTAGTTATTTAGGTCTGCTCTGAGCACAGCATCCTAAAGTAGAAAAGAAAACATTATTGTTTGTTTTTGCCTTTCCTTATGTCGTCATTCATCTTCCCTTTATAGACAATCTGCTGTTGAACCTATCTAACCCTTGCCCTATTGTTTATTCTCACATTGGCTTGTTTTGTTGTTTATAATTCCCTTTTATCCCCCACTATATCTTTTTAATCCTTTTTTTCAGTATTTCTTCAGAATGGTCTTTCTTCCAAATTAGCACATAACAAAGTTACACATAGGCTAAAAAATCCTATCCAAAACAGCTTTCAACAGGTGGAATAGTCGTAGCCAAAGAATCAATGCCTTTAACTCATCCATAATCATCCCTGGGTATTTAGGGCCCAATATAGGTCTATATAGGCATATATGTCCTATACAGGGCAGAAAAGACCCACCACAGGTGGAGGCACAATGATGCAAAGTTGGGGGGGTGTGGGGAGGGAAATGATCCTGGGCATTCTCAACATTAACTTTGGACCTCATCTAGTTTTATGAACATAGAAAACTTTCGATTATCATGTAACTCTCTACCCTAGCTGGTGATCCATGTTGACCACATTTTGAAAAACATCAAGCATAACAGAATGTGCTTAGCACAGGGGACCATGACACCAAATCAAATGTGGCTTGGCAGAGCCCTCACTTAATGAATAAAAACCGAAGGATGCTGTGAATCAGAAACAAAAAAGAAGTTGCTGGAAAAGCTCATCAGGTCTAGCAGCATCTGTGAGGAGAAATGCTGCCAGACCTGCTGAGCTTTTTCAGCAATCTCTGTTTAGCCCCCTCGCTTACTGAACTGGCTTAAGGTCAACAAAGTATAGCTGACAAGTTGTCACAGAGTCCTTGATTAGCACTCCATCCACTACCTTCAACATTCACTCCTTTCAACACCAATCCACATTGATAGCAGTACCTCTACACACTGCATTGCAATAACTCACCAAGCTTCCTTCAATATCACCTTCCAAATGCATGGCTTCTAGCACCTAGAAGGACAAGGACAGCGGATGCATGGGAACACCACCTACCTATAAGTTCCCTTCTAAGCCGCTCACCATCCTGACGTGGAACTATATTGCTGTCCCTTCGCTGTTGCTGGATGAAAATCTTCCTTACTAACTGTAGGTGTACCTATGCTGTAATAATTGCAGCAGTTCAAGAGACAGCTCTCTACCACCTTCTCCAGGGCAACTAAGAATGAGAAATAAATGCTGGCCTAACCAGCAATGCCCACAACCCATGAACAAATTTAAAAAAAGGCGACTTCATACAGAAGACACTGCATTTGTCTCATTGATTAAAGGCAGATAAAGCCTATCAAAACTGTGTATCCATGAGGCACTAGGAAACAAACAGCAGCGGCAAAATTAGAAGCCATCACAATCTGTAACCTTATAGCCTATATCCTTCATTTCTCCAGTTCTGGCATGTTAAATAGTGAATCTTGGTTCAACGGACAACGAACAGCATGCCAGCAACTCAATACACACATAACATATACCCACCAACTCTTCTTGTATTCCAAAGTGAAAATAGCATGCTATGGACGGAGTTAAGAGTTTCACAACCAATAGATCAGAGCAAAGCTCTGTCGATCTGGCATATAAGGTTAGCAATGCTGCGGACAATTGAGCACCATCCTTGTTTTTACCTATAGTTATTCCCAGCATTGGAATGTGGAAGGCCAGGCTGAAAAGGCCAGAATGTGGACACTCCTGTTTAGCCTCTCTCTGTGGTTCTCGCCATCATAGATACCAGTCTAGAGTCACTGAACACGACATCAAGAATCAACAGAACGCACAAGGCACAGAATGGTCACAGCACCGAAGAGGACATTTTACCCTGTCATATCTCCACCAGTGCCCCAAGTTAAGTAATTTGCCTCATGTCATTCACTCATCTTCTCCCTGTAACTCACAACATTCTTCCTTTTCAGATTATCATCCAATTCCCTGTGGAATGTCTTACCCTCCTCCTTCAGTTTGGAATCTTAACCACTTGCTGTGTGAAGAAATACACTATTCTCTTGTTCTCCATTGCTTTTATTTACCAATTATCTAAAATCTGTGACCTTTTATTCTCAATCCTTCTTCCAGTGAATATATCTTTTCCCTATTCACTGTTTCCAGAGCCATAATAATTTTAAACACCTCTGTCAGATTGTCAGATTGTCCTTCTACAAGGAAATCAGTCCCAACCACTCTAATCTCTCAATGTAACTGAAATAACGGGACACAATTAAGACTAAGAAGTTCAACAACATCTCTACCGTAATACTGAGGTTTGTTTACCTGATCTGGCCTTGCTGCTAACCGGATTGCTCCAGGGCAGCTACACACTGGTGTCTACCCAAAGTGGAAAATTGTATGAGTGTGTCCTATTCACATAAAGAAGAATAAATCCAACACAGTCAATTACAGTTCCATCAGTTTATATTCAAACTTCAAGAACTAAATAGGAATAGTGAGGTGAGAATGACTGCCCTTGACATCAAATAAGTCAACAAATGCTGTACCAGGAGACCTAGTTAAAAGGTCCACAGGGATCAGAGGGAAAACACAAGTATAGAAAGGATCATCAGCTGAAGGAGTTTGAACTCCAGGTTTCGGAGATTGTGCAGTCGATGCCATCAGCTGCAATGTAGCTGTGTGGCTTACAGCTATGTAGATTATACATTTCTGAAGATGGTCACCATACCAACTTAACAGTGTGAAGGAAGAGAGGAAATGGGTGAGCAGCAGACAGACAAAGCACGACAAGCATTTAGTGCAGTAATTCCACCAAGTGTGCCTCAGTACTTTGCTGATATTCAGTCCAAAATGCTGTGATGACAGTGGTTCTCCTCAGGTATTTCAACTGTACAAAGAGGCAGGGAAAAGGTCAGATGAGTAATACTGAAGAAGGATCAATATTTAGATGAACAAACAGGGATTTCCATGGATGCAAATGTTGACACCAGGCTGTAATGTTGCTTCCTGAGTTCCAGGGTTAGGAATCTCACTGAGCTGCTATAGGGCATTCTGAGGAGGGAGAATGAGAAGCCAGAAATAGCTGTTCATATCTGTACCAATAGCACAGGTAGAAAGAGAAATTAGGTAGATTTTACAAAGAAAGGAAAGGAATTCAGAAGTAAGTCTTCAGAGAAGTAATCTCCTCATTACTCCCAGTACCATGCACTACTGAGCACAGAAATTGGTTGTCAGTCCCAATCAAAGCATATTTGGTCCAGGAGGAAGGTTTTTAGGTTCCAAGATCATTGAGGCCATCTTCAAGAAAGGTAGGACCTATACAAGCTGGATAGTTTGCTCATCACTGGTGCCAGAACCAACATCAATATCATGTCAGCAATGTTTACCAGTGCTATTGGAGAGACTTTAAATGGACTTGGCACAAGGGATCAGAACTGGAGTGCAGATTCAGAAAGGAGAGAAAGAATACTAGAAATAAAAAGCAGAAAATTGGTAAGCAATTATGTTAGGGAAAGAGAACTGTAGAATATAGTCAAGAAGGTTGTTCCATGAGTAGTGGTATGTACTTCAATGCACATAGATAAGAGAATAAGGCAGAGGAGTTGAGGGCATAGCTAGACACTTAGAAGTGTGAAATGGGAGAATTTGGTCAAATAGTGGAGAGTTCACATCAATGCCCACAGTCTCCACTCTGTTTGAAAATAGGAGGGTGTTGAAGCAGGCCACGAGCAGTGTGTCACATGTCTAGATCATTCCAACACAGACCAGGATTGTGGCCCAGGTCTGGGTCACTGTGACTGACAACCTTGAATAAAAATTCTTTGAATAGAGAGGAAGACATAGATCAAGCATTTACAGGGCAGTCAGCTGACATTAGTGACAGGAAAATTATTGGAAAAATTTGAGGGACATTATAAAATTTTATTTAGGAAAAGCATGACTTCATCAAGAACAGTCAGTGTGGACTTTTTAAAGAAAATTTGAGGAATTGTCGAGGATATTTGATGCACATTTGATGTAATCTACATGAATTTTAACAAGGCTTTTAACAAAGTCCCAAACGGCAGAATGGTTAGAAAAGTAACAACTCATGGGATCCAAGGTCAAGTGGCAAGCTGACTCAGTGGCAAGAAGTAATGTTTGAGGTTCTACAGATTTTGGATCTGGGTTGTTTGCTTTTGATAGTATATAACAATATATTAGACTCTGTGCCCGAAAAGATAATAGAGTGAAAAATCCTCATTATATTTAAGTATGCAGATATAATCATGATGCTCTAACCTACAGCATGGCAATATATAGTGATTATAATGAGGTCAGCCAGGTGGACCTCATAGAATATGGGTTACCTGATTTGGGACAGTTAATCTGGTTCAAACAGGGAGCCCTGGCTGACAGATATAAACAGAAGTATCAGGGGTTCTGTTCACTCAGAGCTGGATCAGTGTCAAGGATTCTTCGCGTGTAAATAAAGGATGGCATGGTAACAGGATACCAGCCTCTGTGGAGTTATTTCACAACCCTTGAGCTATAAAGTGGGACTTTGAACAAGAATAGGCCAAATGGTCTCCTTTGTGCTGTAAATTTCCTTCATACGGTGGCTGACACAAAGGGAGACAGTTATGGTTATTGGAGACAAATTACCTTAACACCAGGAGATCATTGGAGTTTGTCAAGGTAGTATTCTAAGCCCAGTTCTCTATTTCTCCTTCAATTAGTTGCCCTCCCTCATTAGATCAAAAATGGAATTACTCATGATTGCAGTGTGTTCAACTGTATTCACTAATCTTCAGATGAAGAAACCTTTCATACCACTTCATAGGTTTGTTTTACAATGTTGGAAGTAAAAAGCTAAAACGTGACCATGAAGCTCTCAGACTGGTATAAAAATTTAAATTGCTCACTAGTTTTCTTAGGGAAGGAAACCTGCTGTCCTTATGCATTTAATCTATAGCTAACTCCCTAATAAGACGTCAAATCAACTGTTCGCTGAAATTATCTAACAGGTCATCATGATAACTAGGAATACAATTTATCTTGGCATTGACATCTGCATCTCTTGATTAAAACAATACTCCATCCAGGAACTCATTCACTGGCTTAAACAACCATTCATCAATAAACATATAGAAGGAACATCGTCTATAGGATGCAATAATGTAACTCTCAGAGGTTTAACTGGCAACACCTTCGAACCTGACATTATCCTTTAGGATCTCCTTTTCCATCTGTCATTTATCTTTGCATATCTCACCTCCTCTTTCCAACTTCTATCCTTTATATTCTGATATCCTTTTTCTATTTTAACCTCCTAACTTGTCTTCCTAAGTATCCTCATCCATCAGGAGATCAGGATGACACATCTCAGAAAGCAGCTAGTGTCTTCTAATTTCTCCCATCATGAACCAACATGAAATATCATCCAAGCCCTTTTAATACCCACCCCCGACCATTTCATCAACCTTAATTTACCATTCTGGGAACAGATCAGCTGTCTCCTGTAGCATGGGTGCAAGTAAATATTTCTGGTAAAAGAGTGGACACAGGTGAGAACATGGTTTAAGTCACCAGCAACTAGAAGGAGATTTAAAATGAAATTTGTTCTCTTGAACGTATTTCAGTTTTGAGCAAATTATAAAGGTTACCTGATGCATTCCCACAACAGACGGAAACACCGCTCTGGGATATTGATCCGCTGCAAATCCAGCCTTGATCATCCCAGTTCCAGTATCCACCACCACAGCCATGACTCAACCTGTGTGAAAAAAAACACAGAAATTAAAAAAAAGTGGTAACTGTGATAGAATGAGATTTATATAAATCATGATGATGTAACTATACATATAATTCTGACATCAGAAAGAGAAAAGACACCAGCTAGATAAACATGTGAAGAGAGGGGTCTTGCACACAACGTTTGAGAGCTGTATTTGAGGACTTATTGTCAACATAAGTAAATAAAGGAGTGTTACAATCCGTAAGTAGTTGCCTTAACTAGAGATAAGGAGTAAGCAGCCTATGGACAGTGTATGAACAGAACCACTATTGTTTGTGTTGTGATGCCAACCACTGCCAGCTTGTGGTTAGAGTAATTTGCAGCCATCATCCCCTGTCCTTGACAGGGTCTAAATGACTTGTTGGTTTACAGTGAGAGAAGAAAACTACGACTGAGATGAACAAGAGGCCCTACTCTTAAGCAAGATATAGTTTATTGCATGATGGCAAACATGTACAAGTTACGTTAGTACGTTAGACATTGTTATTAAGACTACTGTGGATATCGGATTTCAATCCACAAAATCCCAAGATCTTCTGACTGTTGCCACACAAATCTTTATTACATCAGATTGGGTAGATCTCAAACAGTAACCCTTCAGAACCATTATGTTGTACTTCACCCACAGCCAGAGATGATCCAGATCAGTATCTCAATGTGCAAGTACCATTCTTGGTTTAAAGTACAAGATAAAGCACCAATGTGGGGGGGTAAGGAAGCAGACAAGTGAGAGATTGGCCTTCTCAAGCTCTTGAACTGTTTCCATCATCTTCAAAAACTTTTCATTCTCACAGACTTTCAGCATTAACCTCATCTAACATATATTCTTTAAAAACATAAGGACAGGAGAATGCAATTTGGCATTGCAATTCCATTCTGCCCAAAGTCCAGCTGTGTGCTCTGTAAAATGAGTCTACCTCTCCCTACCCAATCAATGCATATTAACCTCCACTGAACATCACCTTGAACTCCCTGAGAGAGAAGAAAAGTAAGATCTGTTAATAATACTTCTGACAGTTCAGTATAGTGCTCAAGGAGTGTTGTATTGAACTAATGGTGAGGTGAGAGAATGACAAGTTGACACAGGAGGTTATGATGATCTGGAATACAGGGACAAAAGGGTAATGAAAGCAAAGTCAACAATAACTTTTACAAAGCGAAATGGATAAGGAAAATTTAATGGACTATAGGGGAAATGAGGTGAATGATTTTTTTCAAACTGTTGAATCCTAAGTGAACATTGCCAGAAAGGCTAGTGTTTACTATCCATCCCTGATGGCCTTGAGAAGGTGATGATAGCCATGCTTTCAAATCACTGCAGTTCTTGTGGCGAGTTTTCTCCAATAGTGCTGTCAGGTAGGGAGTTTCAGAATCCTGAGCCAGTGACAATGAAGGAACAGCAATTTCCAGTTGTGCAAGGTGCGTGGCATGGAGGATAGCTTGCAAATGGTGATGTTCCCATTTGCCTGGTGGCCTTATTCTTCAAAACAGTCACTCGCTTTGGAGGTACTGGAATGCATCGATACAGAAAACATTAGAGCACAGCGAACCAGTGAATATTTAAACTGGTAGGTGGGGTGTCAATCAAAGGAGGTGCCTTGTCCTAGTTAGAGTTAAGCTTACTGGGTGTTGCTGAAGCTGCATTTATCAAAATAAGTAGAGAGAATTCCATTATGTATCTGCTTTGTGTTTTGAAGGTGATGGACAGGCTGTGGGGAGACAGGAGAGGAGCGACATGCCTCAATTCCTAGGATCTAACCTGCTCTTGCAGCCATCGTATTTATATGGCTGGTTCAGTTCAGTCCCTAGTTAGCGGTAACCAGCAGTATGTTCATGGTGGAGGAATTCATTGATGTGATCCTTGTTATCTAACTATGATACAGTAAGGAACAGGCAGCTCTGCCACGCAGCAAGTTCAAGGCTGATCTGATGAGGGCCTCAGCTCCATATTTCCACTTACCCTGGTAACCTTTGATTCCTTGTTGGTAAAAACAAAGCTACGTCAGTCTTTAAAATACTGTCTTTAACCTCTTGTTATCCACAAATGGATCACATTTCTCATGGAATTCTAATTTCTCAACAAAATATATATTGGTCTAATTACCATAGAGACTGTAGCACTTTGAAAGATATTCAAGTCGCAAATTAATATTCGAAAGAATGGCACAGTAACCTTTCACATTTTAACGTTAGTATAACAAAGTACTAAACTGGCTAAATTATTGACTAAAAACTATTTCCTTCTTGTTGGGAACTTGTAGTTTGAACCACAGAAACTTATATTCCTTTTCTATACTTCTCCCTCATTATACTCTCCATTGAATTAAAGTTGGGTCAGTTTCTAATGAGTTTCTGTATTCCCATTTTCGCTGAGTAATAATTTCGCTGACTGTCTCCAGGCATCTCCTCAGTTTTCAGAGTGTTTTGGAAATCTACCACCAACCGTAAAACATGTTCCAAGATTAAAGGACCTGTTTAATGACTGACCTCAAAGTAAAACAGGTATTTACCACATTACCTTTATGATTTCCCTTGTTAATTTGGCCCTGATTCTTAGAAGAACCTCATACTTTATTCTGCCTAAGTCATTGATTCCTACATTGATCAGACCAAATTCTCCCCAGCCCTCCTTTATGCCAGCACAGGCAAGACAACGTAACTCCCAGATGTAGTTACAGAACAGTAAGACTCCTGGACTGTAATTTTCTTCACCCAGTAGCACATCACTTTAAACTCCAACAACATGAATGTCCCACTTTATTAATACTATGGTGCTTTGATTGTTCAACCTGCAGGCTTTGACCTCATCAAACAGGTTCAAGATATCTCCCTTTTGGCTAAATGCAAAGGCTGAGCTCCTCCGACACTGCATCTGGGATTTACTTACCTGCCTCATTCACAATCATACACTCCTGTTCAAGAATGCAAAATCCAAACCAAAGGGGTGTGACTGCCTCGTGAATCAAAATGCTATCTTAGGCTAACTCTCCTCCTCTCCGATACCTCTCAATACTGCAACCTTGGACTCTAGTTCAACAACTCTGTGCTGAACTGCTGATGCAACTTAATTGCGGAAGTCATTCTCTGGAATTGTAATCTTGCCATAAATTATTACCCACTGCAGTCATGACACGTCACCGGGCACTGGGATCCCTATCTAGTCTTGCTTTATTTAATTAATTTTAGCACACGTGCATAATCAACCTGGCTTCTAACTTCTAACTTATTTTGTACTATTTGCTTGATCTAGTTTAAGATCACAGGTAGATTAGATTAAACCCTTACCGCTACCTGGAACCACTCCAAGTATTGAAGGCAAAGCAGCTTCTTCTTCGCTCTCTATGTTGAATGCTCACTCTCACCAAATTCCCAATCTTTACACTCCTATTATGACGTTCTCAGAGTCAATTCACATTTGACCAGCATTTGAGCCACACCCAAGTTCTAAGGGCTCACTCAGCTTCCCGTTCACTGTAATTGTCCCTTATTTGGACAATCACTTACAAATGATTGACAGCTGACTTTCAACTGCCACTGACTTGCAGCTTCTGTTGAATGTTGACTAACCTCCAATTTCTCTTGCCATTTTTAAAGTTCTTAGTTAAATTAGACTTCAGTTTGAAACTACTTTTTCAATATTTACAATGTTCTCAATTTTTACTTTATGACAGTGACCAGTGTGTGCACAATCAGATAACTGTTAACCTTTATGCGTTGTTTTTTCTGCACACAACCAAGATGTAAGTGTTTTCACTTTGTCAGGTATTTGCCAGTGTAAACTTGAGGAAACAAAAATCTGTTATTTGTCTTAACTTGTGGAACATCCCATTCCCACATCACCCTGTGCTCTTAGGCAAGCAGCATTCTGATTTTTAAATTCTTACCTTCATTTTCAAACCCCTCCGTAGCGTTTTCCCTCCCTATCTCCTCCAACACTACAACTCTTCAGGAGATCTGATCTTCTCTAATACTAGCCTCTTCTGCATTACCAATTGTAACCACTACACAACTTGTGTTTGTGCCTTCAGCTGCTTGGGACCAAAGTTCTGGAATTCCTTCTCTCCAGATTACTTTTCTTCTTTCAGAACTTAAAACCTCTCACTTTGACCAAGGTGTCATATCTCATTTTATAATGCTCTTGCAAAGCTCCTTGCAGTACTAAAGGTGCTATAATAATATTATGGAAGCTTTATAGGAACAGCCTGGTTTGGGATGATGTTAATCCTGAAGCATGAAATTTCATCACTCCCTTCAGGATATTATTGGGGCCTTTAGTATTTGTTGTACCTGGTACACCCAACTATTTCTTAATGTAAAATGAAATGAATCAAATTGGCTGAAGACTCATGACTATAATGGTGGGGACTTAAAAATTGGCTGAGGTGGATATTGCACTGCGTACTTTTAGCTTGAGATGTTTGCAAAATCTCCATCAATTAGTATGGGAATATTTAAAGTAATCATTAATTGACCACCATCATTCATTACTGGATGTGGCAAACTTATGTGGCTTTGATCTGATTTACTTGCTGTCAGTTTGCTTGACTCTGGCTATTGCACACTGCTTCTGATGTTCAGCTGCACGGTGTGTCTTCACCAGGTTGACATTTTATTGTCACAATGCTGCTTCCATTATGCTCTTTACAGGGCACAGTGGCTCAGTGGTTAGTATGCTGCTTCACAGTTCCAGGGAGCCAGGTTCGATTCCAGCCTCGGGCAACTTCCTGTGTGGAGTTTGCACATTCTTCCCATGTCTGCGTGGGTTTCCGCTGGGAGCTCCGGTTTCCTCCCTTGCTGCAAAGATGTGCAAGTTAAGTGCATTGGCCATGCTAAATTGTTCATAGTGTTCAGGGATGTGTAGGTTAGATGCATTAGCCGTGGGAAATGCAGGAAAGGATTAGAGGATAGGTCTTGGTGGGATGGTCTTCATAATGCCTGTGTGGGCTGGTTGGGCCGAATGGGCTGTTTCCACACTGTGGGGATTCTATGATTCTATTCTATGTTACCAGTCCCACTGAGTTCTGCCAGCAATTTCTGTTTCTGTTTCAATGTGTATCCGTTCTATCTGCAAAGATGCCCAGGAGAGATAGAGACGTAACGTGGGTGTCAACAAATGTGTAAAAAGGAGAAAATTGGTCTGATCTGCTGACAGCAAAGTCAGCAAGACATAAACAAGTGATGGCTTTGTTGAGGGGAGTTGTAGCAGGGGGTGTAGTGGAGCTGGTAATAAATGGTGAGAAATGTAAGTCAAACGGAGAGGTATGATGCTGCGAAATTGTGGAACTCAATATTGTGTTCTAGAGGCTGTAAAGTGCCTAAGTGGAAAATGAAGTGTTGTTCCTCAATTTTGCATTGAATTTCATTGGAACAGGCCCAGGGTGGAAATGTTTGGTTGGGAGCAAGGTGGTTTATTAAAATAAGCAATTGGATGGTCAGGGTCAATGCTATGAAAAGTGTAGAGGCATTCTGCAAGGTGGTCACCCAGCCAGCATTTAGTCATTCCAATGTAAAGGGCACTTCATTGTGAGCAGTAGACGAGATTGAAAGAACTACAAAGTAAAATACTACTTCACCTGGAAGTTTGGGATCTAGGTCAGTAAGGAAGTGAATTGGAAAGTGTTACACCTGCAATAAATTGGGAAATGCTATGTGGTGTGATCAAGCTTTAGGAGTGATGGAGGAGTTCATTGTACATTTCCTGCAGAAAGCTGACAGTGTAGCAGCACAGAAAATGTTTGGAGGTTATATCCTGCTGGAGGTGACAGAAATGGCAGAGGATGATCTTTGAATGAAGAGACTGGCGGGTGGAAAGTAAGGACAAGATGAACACTATTGGTGTTTCGGAGAGAGAGAAGGATGAATGAGGGCAGAAGTGCAGAAAACAGGTTTAACGTGGTTGATGGCCTTGTTCCAGGAAAGGTAGGAATGAATTGGAGAGGAAAGGAATTTTGGAGTTGGGGTTGCAGTTTGCAAAGAAAGAGGGGGTCAAAGGTTGGTATTTCTTTCATGACTGCATTCCACTGCTCAGAAAAGCAGCCAAGCAATCAAATACTTATCTTGGTGATATCAGTTTCTTCTGTGTTTAGAATACTCTTATCAGGATGAAAATTTCTTTGTATGACGAAATCATTCCAATTTAGTTTTTATGAACGGTCAATGTCCAAATAAACCCATATAGCACTGTTGCTTTAGTACAAACATTATTCTGTGGTACTTTTTGCACTGTACTGGGTGTCACCTTTCAAACGAAATGTTCAACCCAGGCCCCATCTACCATCTTAGGTGGATTCAAAAGATCCCAGCTATTTTATATATTCCCTGGCCAATATTCAGTGCTCAAATTAAGGAAACAAAAGATGGGTTCAGATCGAGTTTGATTAGTTACATACAATTTTCCAATCCCTTGATCTGACAGGGCAGATGGTGGAAATGACTAATATTGGGGCACTTCCTATTTCCTACAGACTAAGAGGGTGGCCATGGGAACCCGCATGCGCCCAAGCTATGCCTGCCTCTTTGTAGAATACGTGGAACAATTCCTCTTCCGTAGCTACATTGGCCCTATCCCCCACCTCTTCATCCGTTACATCAATGGCTGTTTCGGCGCCGCCTCGTGCTCCCACGAGGAGCTTGAACAGTTCATCAACTTTACTAATACCTTTCACCCTGACCTCAAGTTCACCTGGGCCATCTCGGATACCTCTCTCTCCTTCCTAGACCTCAGTCACCAGAGATGGAGACAGCCTCGAAACTGACATCTATTCCAAGCCCACCAACGCCCACGGCTACACCTCCTCTCACGCACCTTCCTGCAAGAATGCCATCCCCTATTCCCAATTCCTCCACCATGTCTGCTCCTAAGATGGGGTGCTCCACTCCTGAACATCCAGATGGCCTCTTATTTCAAGGGCTGTAACTTTCCCCCTTCGGTGGTCGAAATGCTCTTGACTGCATCTCTTGCATTTTCTGCACCTCTGCCCTCACATCCCCTCCCCGCAACAAAAACAAGGCTAGAATCCCCCTTGTCCTCACATATCACCCCACTAACCTCCGGATTCAACATATCATTCTCCGCCACTTCCGCCACCTACAATCCGACCCCACAACCAAAGATATATTTCCCTCCCTACCCCTATCTGCGTTTCGTAGAGACTGCTCTCTGCAACTCCCTTGTCTGATCCACATTCCCCACTAGCCCCACCCTGCCTCCGGCACCTTTCCCTGCAACCACAGGAAGTGCTACACCTGCCCCTACACATCCCCCCTCACCTCCATTCCAGGCACCAAACAAACCTTTCATATCAGGCAGAGGTTCACTTGTACATCTGTCAATGTGGCCTATTGCATCCACTGCTCCCGATGCGGCCTCCTCTACATTGGTGAGACCAAGCGGAGGCTCGGAGACCACATTGTAGAGCACCTGCGCTCTGTTCTTGACAAACGACAACACCTTCCGGTCGCAAACCATTTTAACTGCCCCTCCCACTCCCTGGGCGACATGTCCATCCTGGGCCTCCTCCAGTGCCACAATGATACCACCCGCAAACTGGAGGAGCAGCACCTCAGGAGCCTACAGCCCGATGGCCTAAACATGGATTTTACCAGTTTCAAGTTCTCCCCAGCACCCCCAGCCTCATCCTATGACTAACCCTCCCTCTCATCCCCGCCTCCTTGACCTGACACAACCTGTCCATCTTCTCTCCCACCTATCTGCTCCTCCCACCTCACTGACCAATCCCCACTACTCCCTACCTGCACTCACCTATCACCATCCCACCTACCTTGCCCAACCCAACCCTCCTCTCTCTATTTCTGAGCTCTCTTCCCCACCCCACCCCCATTTTTGAAGAAGGGTCCCGACCTGAAATGTCATCTTTCCTGTCCCACTGATGCTGCCTGGCCTGCTGTGTTCCTCCAGCTCCACACGGTGTTATCTCTAATAATGGGACAGTCTGACACTGCAACACCAACCACCTGAGCCATTAAATTCTGGGCAGGAAAGTCCATGGGTGACCTTGCTGGCCTATCATAAGTAAAGGCCCTTAAATGGTCAATTAATCAGTTAGGGCCTGAAGGCCTGAGGTCAAAGTTCATGCCTTCCCAGCAGGCAAGAAAAGCAACAGCTTTCCAAAATAAGGAAAGCAGGACAGCCTGACAACTGGGTCCTCCATTTTCCCCTGATCTGCAGAATGGGGCAAATGATAGTGACTGACACCCATCTTCCTGCAACACCCACGCTGTGATCCCTTCACTTTAAAAAAAGGGACTGAACTCCTCGACAGCACGGCGTTAAAGACTTGACTAACTTGGGTTCCATCACTGTTCTCCAGCTTCCATTAACTGCTGCTGGCCTCTGACTGGTTGAGAGCTTCAGGTTTGGCAGGATTTCATTGGTGAGATACAGATGGCCAAGAAACCCGTCAGGTCGCTACTGACATGTGTGATTTGTCCCTTGATCTGACCGGTGTACTCATTGTGTGGGCAGGAGTTACTTATCTTTGAAATCCCTGCTTCCACATTTAGAGCAAAAAAAAACTAAATGCAGCCCAGAAAACATCAATAACCTGGAAAATAGTATAAGACTTTAAGCTACTGTAGTCAATTATAGGCAATAGACCCTTGGAGACTAGACCACCCTGGGATCACAGATCAGTACAGAATCTCCACCCCAAGCACTAGCCCCCTACACTTCCTCCAGTCCCAGCTCAGCTGTCCTGAAGCTGAGTATTTCCTTATTTTCCTATTAACACCCTTCTTTACTTTGTGTCATCATCTCTTTGGTAATTCCATTCACTTCTGAACTCCACCTTATCAGAATCCCTTGCGCTCTTGTGGCATGAGGCCTGGGTTTAAGGTTCACTGATTTCCTTTAGGGAAGGAAACTGTATCTTTGTCTGGTCAGGTCTACTTGTGACTCCAGACATACAGCAATGTGGTTGACTCTTAACTGCCCTTTGGGCAATTAAGGATGGGTAATAAATGCTGGTCGAGCCTGCAACACACTTATTTCATGAATGAATAAAAGCTCTTCTTGTTCCAGGTACATATTTTAATATCTGAGTAAGATGATTAGAAAATATCCAGGATTTTAAGAATGTTCTTACTAAAGCAAGATTCACTTTGTTCATCACAATACCACAGATGCAACTTATGTATAATAGAAAACTCTTCTCCATCATTCTATTTTATCAACCCCCAACCCCCAATGTCACGAACCACCTTCAGTCAACAGCTAATGATGACAGTAACACAAAGCAATCCTCCAAACAACTTCTTAATTGGACTCCCCATTGGCTCCCATCAATTCACCTCTTCAAGCAAGTTAAAAGGATTCTTACAAGCCAATAACCAAAATTGGTTTTAACACTGCCTGAGGTTTTCCAAATATGACATGTCCGGCAAAATTCAACCACATCCTTATTCAGCCCAGACCAATAAAATCATTTTTATGTTTTGGCTTGAATTTTCAATACTCCCACATGACCTCCTGCTTGATCATTCATGTGCTACCCACAAGGCCTCCTTTCTATAACCCACCAATAATACAACCTGATGAACTTCTACCCATTTCCCATCTGCCTGAATACGTGATGGTCTCCATTTCCTCATCAAGACTTCATTTTTAAGGTAGTAACATTCTGGGATACACTCAGATTCTTCTTCTGTGAATGACTTTTGATACAACTGCTTTAGTTTTGCATCTTTCTGTTGTAATCCATCTAATTTCTCTGAACTGAAAATATCCACTTTGTCCTCCACCTGTTCTTGACTTTTTCTTAACCATTTGATCAAACATAGTTTCTGATAACTGAACTTTAACTTCCTTCTCTTTATTCTTTGATTTCTCTTCCTGTTTCCACTTGTGGCTTTGTGACCTTGTGACCTTTGTGACCACATAATTCAGAAATACTGAAAGAATTTAGCAGTTGGATTTCAACAGAACTGACAAGTATGACTTCAGCGGGGAGGTGGGGCTGGTGGTAATCTGCCAGCAGGATTGATCAGAATGGACAATACAACACGTGGCAGAAGGAGCAAAGAGAAGGGATGGGCAGCAACAGGATCACCTTTCAAGAGCCTTATGTTGCCCCTGCCAACAAGGCATGCGAGATCTTGTATCAGTGTGTCTTGAGTCTCTTTTAAGAGATGGATCATCTCAATTTTATTGACAATGTTATACATAGAGGAATTTGCACAAAGGCTGTTGTAGGAGATGAGACTCACAGACATATGAACATCAAAGCTAAGTGTGTACAACAAGTATTATAAAGGAAACACATGGACAATACTTGAACATGTCGGAAAGATGAAAGAAATTAAGATTTTGAAATGGAAAATTAATTGGCTTTTAATTTTGTAATATAACACAGGAAAGAGCCTCTGAACAATTGGAAGGCCCCCGGCAGCAAATTAGAATACTAACTATTTGGAACAAAATCTCGAGGAATGTCGTATTTGGAATTCAATATCACTTAGAATAAAGAAAATTACTGATTCATGAAGTTAGATAAATGATTAGTGAAACTGTATACGGGATCATTTTGCTTGTGATAATGCCCAAAGCCAGATCAGGTCCACTGAGGGAACTTGATTAGAAGCACTTGCGATGGACTATCGATGGCCCTGACTCATCATATCGCTGTTTGATGATCCACATTTGTTGAAAGGTAGAGAGAGAAGCTAGGATTGAGCCACCGATCCACACTGAATACTTCCTTTCAGGTGGAGCAATGATTTTAATCTTCATTGTGCTCGGAATCAATGCTGTGATTTCCTTCTGCACTCGATTTGCAAAGCCTGGGTACATGGTGGATCCACCAGATAAAACAATACTGGCATACAGGTCCTTCCTGATGTCCGTATCACATTTTGTGGTACTGTGGAAGACGGCCTCGTGGATTCCAGTTGTCTCCATTCCTAGGAAGGAAGGTTGGAAGAGAGCCTCTGGGCATCTGAAACATTCATTGCCAATGGTGACGACTTGACCATCTGGTAGCTCATAGCTTTTCTCTAGGGTTGAAGAGGAGGCAGCTATAACCATCTCAGACTCAAAGTCAAGAGCCACGTAGCATAGATTCTCTTTGATGTCACGGACAATCTCCCTTTCAGCTGTGGTTGTGAAAGAGTACCCACGTTCAGTCAGAATCTTCATCAGGTAGTCAGTCAGGTCCCTGCCAGCCAGGTCTAGTCGCAGAATGGCATGGGGCAAGGCATACCCTTCATAAATAGGTACTGTGTGAGTCACACCATCACCAGAGTCCATTACAATACCTGTCGTGCGGCCAGAGGCATACAAGGACAGGACAGCCTGAATGGAGACATACATAGCCGGCGTGTTAAAGGTCTCAAACATAATCTGAGTCATCTTCTCCCGGTTAGCTTTGGAGTTGAGAGGTGCCTCTGTGAGGAGAACGGGATGTTCCTCTGGGGCAACTCGCAGCTCATTGTAGAAGGTGTGATGCCAGATCTTCTCCACGTCATCCCAGTTGGTCACAACCCCATGCTCAATTGGATACTTCAGGGTCAGAATCCCTCTCTTGCTCTGGGCTTCATCACCAACATAACACTCCTTCTGACCTATTCCCACCATCACTCCCTGGAAAAGAAAAGGTAGAAAAATTATATGCTTAGAAAACAAAGGGCTGTAGTAACATCGGGTCTTAGTGAGCCAATTAAATCAATGCCACAAATTGATTTATATACAGACTACTATAAAATGGTGATCAGGACTGTATTAATAATTTGTTACTCAGTGATATTAGGCCTGAATTTCAGAGTCATGGAAACTCCATAGCATTAACAAAATTAGTGGAGTGACATCAGGTCTGAAAATCCTAAACTAACAACTTGCCCCACCACTGGAAATTGGAGAAACCATCCATCCTCATTAACAATAGATAATATCTGGAGAACTGCTAATCTGTAATATATTTAACATGAAGCCCTTTGAAAATTGGAAAAATGCCTGTCTGTTGAATAAGTTTAGTAAAACCTGTTCAGGCAGTTTCAGAAACTGTTTCACTATTTGCTAATCCACCTGTTCAGAGATGTTATTACATAACATATGGAGCAGATGGGACTTGAATGTAGGCCTCCTGGGTCAGAGGTAGGGACACTAGCACTGTACCGTGAGCACTCATTAAGTAGCTGTTTATTGACATAACCCTAAGTGTTATCATTTTGTCATGATTAATGCTTCCACAGTCTATCATTATAAATATGTAAATTAACACTACGACTGGAAGCTCAAAGAGGTCATTAAAGGATTAGTTGCCTTTGAAATGGGATTATAGATACAAATGTTTGTTTTGATAAGGATTAAAAAACTGATGGGATTTAAATTTGTTGAATAGGATTTCACAATTTTTTTATGTAGAGTAGAGTTTCTGATGGATATTTATAATCTTACTTTATCTCAGCATGGATTCTAAGGTCTTCTCACAGTGGGTACTGGATGAGTTGGCATGGATGGTTTATGGGTAAAGTGTAGGGGCTTGCGGCATGACGTAGAGTCAGGATATAAGGAGCCAAGAGGAAGGGTAGGGAACTGTGAGCTGGCACTAAGTTAATAGGATTCCTGTGAGCTTACAAATGAATATGGGGAGTGGGCAGGGGTCAGAGTTTGTGATGTTAACAGCTGGAGAGCCTAACATTTAAAAAAAATGACGTCCCAGAGAAAGAGAGTGGGCATATTAAGCACTTGGTAACTCCTGTAGTCACTTCAGATCGGTGTTCAGTGGCAGTGCAGCTAACCATCCTACACTTATTTCCCCCAAAATAAGGATTCCACCATCTGGGTCACCTTGACTGAGATGAGTGCAGCAACGGGGACACTTTCTGGCTAGGGAGCAAATGTTGAGGCATTAACTAATCACCTACATTTTTATTGAGTGCACATAAACAAGTCTTCTTAAAATTATTCATTTGTGCAATATGGGTGTAACTGACACGGTCAGAACTTATTTTACATTACTAATTGCCCGAGGGCAGTTCAGAGTCAAACCTATTGCTGTGGATCTGGAGAAACATGTAGGCCAGGCTAGGTAAGGACAATTGACTTCCTTCCCTAAAGAACATTAACAAACCCAATGGCATTATGGATCACTAACCTGCTAATTTTACCATTGCATCACTGTCACCTCATGGGACTATGATCTCAAAACGTGTGTAAACTTGTGGAGGAAGGGGAAATGCCTCCTTTATTAAAAGGGTTAATTCTTATAAAGTGTGGGATTTCCAGCAAGGCCAACATTTTTCAATCACTGCCTAGTTGCCCTGAGAGTGTGGCATTGGGAGTTCTTTCTGAACACCTGCAGCTCAGGTAGTTTTTTGTTCTAACAGTTTGTTACAATTGACAAATTTGCAAATCCACTTCAGGATAAGTTAAGTGACAACCACACTGCTGCGGGCCTGGTTTTCCAAATGAGCCAGACTGCATAAGGCCAGCAGGTCTGTATCCTTGTTATGTCATCTGTACAACGCACCTTCCTTCCTAGCTTTGTGTCAACCGCAAATCTAGCCACTATCACTTCAATCGTCTCATCTTAATGAATTAATATGTATTGTAAACAATTAATAAGCTCAGCACAGATCCCCACTCATCACATTCTGCCAAGCAGAAATCAATCCATACTAGTATATCACCCCGATACACTTTGGGCAAAAAACCTCTTTTATGTGAAATCTTTTCAAATGCCTTCTGAAAATTCAGGTATAGTACATCAGTGGATTCCCCTATATCTAAAACCCATGTCACTCCTTCAAAGAATTCCAATAAATTGGCTAAACGTCATTTCTTTTTCACACTACCATACTGATGCTATCTGATTACCTTGAGTTTTTAATACCTTCCCCTTGACGGACAAGCCATAATTTCCTGTTTTATGCCTTCCTCCCTTCTTGAATTGAAGTGTTATACTTGTTGCTTTTCAAACTTTTCCATAACTTAGCAAACTTTGGAAAATTGACAAGGCATCCAATATCTCAATAGCCACCTCTTGCAAGACCGAAGAATTAAGTTCATGTGGACCCAAAGATTTATCAAGCAAACCTCCATCAGTTTTCTTAGACTGTTTCCCTAAGGATTATAATTTCACCATGTACCCCTCTTCCTTCAACCTCTTGTTTACAAGCATTGCAGTTTGTATCCTCAACAGTGAAGAAGCAAAATAGTTATTCTGTGCATCCACCATTTCTTTTTTTATTTATTTACTCCCAAGTCTCATCTTCTAGAAGACAAATACTCACTTTGCTTTCTTTTTCCCTTTTAAGATACCTGTAGACGCTCTTGCTATCCACTTTTACATTTCTAACTGGCTTCTTCTCATACTCAGTTAGTTGCCCTTATATAAGTTTAAACTACAAGACTTTGATGTACATTTTCTCCTGTCAACTGGATGTAAAATTCAATCATATTATTCTCACTGCTACTTACAAGTAATCCGAATTCATATCTGGTCAGTTCCAGAACGTGCTGCTTTAAGACACTGTCTCAAAAGCATTCTATGAACTCTCAATCAAGGCTACTATTATAAATCTAATTTTTCCAATTTTTAATATAAATTAAAATCATCTTTAATTATTGCCATGCCTTTGTCACAAGCACCCAATATATCTTTTGAGTTTGCATGTTCTCCCCGTGTCTGCATGGGTTTCCTCCGGGTGCTCTGGTTTCCTCCCACAGTCCAAAGATGTGAAAATTAGGTGGATTGGCCATGCTAAACTGCCCTTAGTGTTCAGGGATGTGTAGCTTAGGTGGGTTATAAGGGGATGGGTCTGGGTGGGATGCCCCAAGGGTCAGTGTGGACTTGTTGGGCCGAAGGGCCTGTTTCCACACTGTAGGGATTCTATGATTCTAACAGAGCAGATGTAAGCTCTACAATCCTGTCTCATCCAGTTGTGAATAATTGTGGACAAATAAACAACTCTCTACAGTAAGATGTTCCTCAAAAATGCCCATCTTCAATGATAGAGGAGCCCAGAACATCAGTACAAAATGCAAGGCTGAAGCATTTGAAAGAGTCTGGCTGGAGGTCACCAGCATGACAAATGTCAGCATTCATCCCATGGTTCAAGCATGGACAAAAGAACAGAACTCAAGAGGGGAGGTAAGAGTGACTGTATTTGACATCGAGTTCCCATTTAACTGCATGTGGTATCAAGGAACCCCAGCAATATTAAAGCCAATAGAAATGAGAAGGAAAATTATCCCATTCTCGGAGTCATAACTAACAGCAAGGAATGTTGGTAGCCATCTCAGCTCCAAAACATCTCTGCAGGAGCTACTCAGGGTAATGTCCTGGGCCCAACCATCTTCAGCTGCTTCATCAATGATCTCCCTCCATCATAAGGTCAGAAGTGGGGACATTTGTTGATGATTGCATAATGTTTAATCCCATTCATGTTTCCTCAGACACTGAACCAGTCCAAACGAAACATGACCTAAACAATATCCAAGTTTAGATTACCAAGTGATGAGTAACATCTGCATTGCACAAGTGGCAGGCAAGGACTATTATCAACAAAAGAGAATCTAACAACTGGCCATTAATATTTAATGGTGTTATCATCACTGAACCTCCCACCATCAAAATCCTAGGGGTTACCATTAACCAGAAACTGAAACGGACTAGTTATATAAATATTGAGGCTACAAGCGCAGATCAGAGGCTAGGAATCCTGCAGCGATTAGCTCACTTCCTGACTCCCCAAAGCATGTCAACTATCCACAAGTCACATGTCAAGAGTGTAAAGGAATATTTCCTATTTGCCCAAGTGAGTGCAGCCCCAACAACACTCAAGAAGCTTGACACCATCCAGGACAAAGTAGTAGGGGAGGTGATGGCCTAGTGGTATTATTGCTGTTAATCCAGAGACCCAGATAATGTTCTGGGGACCTGGGTTCGAATCGCGCCACGGCAGATGGTGGAGTTTGCACTCAATAAAATATCTGGAATTAACAGTCTAATGATGACCGTGAATCCATTGTCGATTGTCAGACAAATCCATCTGGTTCACTAACACCCATTAGGGAAGGAAACTGCCATCCTTACCTGGTCTGGCCTACATATGACTCCAGACCCACAGCAATGTGGTTGACTCTTAACTGCCCTCTAGGCAATTAGGGATGGGCAATAAATGCTGCCGAGCCAGCGGCACCCATGTCCCGTGAATGAATAAAGGAAAAAAAATCCCCTGCTGGGTTGAAACCACTTCCTCAAACATTCACTTCCTGCACCTCTGATGCACCTTCCAGACTCATGGCCACTGCCATGAAGAAGGACAAGAGCAACAGATAAATGAGAACACCACCACCTGCAAGTTCCCATCCAAGCCACTCATTATTCTGACCTAGAAATATCTCACAGTTCTTTCAGTATTGCTGGGTTAAAATCCTGGAACTCCTTTCCTAAATCTACAGTGATTGCAGTGTATCAATTCAAGAAGGCAGCTCATTACCACATTTTAAGGACGCTTAGGGATGGAGAAAATATGCTGGACCCATGAATGAAAGAATTAAAAAAGTGAGAAAATAATGAAGTGAATTCTCCAGAGAGGAAGAAAAATCAGCCAAGAGACATCATGACAGGGAA